ATTAATTTTATTTTAATATAATTTTATTTGTTTGTATATGATTTAAAAAAAATAGTCAATCTATATTATTTGAAATTTTAAATGAATTTTTTTTTTAACTGTCTTTTTTTTCTTGAAAATCGTATATTCTCACGAAGTCTTATAATCAATTATAATTTACATAACCAAGGGGTCATATATAGAATTTTACAATGTTTTTATTTATTTTTTCCTCATTTTTTTAAATATTATTTTTATTTTTATTTTATTTCTTTCGTTCGTCTATCTTATTTCTCGCTATTCTTTTGTTCTTTTCTATCAAACATGAATTTGTTTCTTTCTATATAATTCAAAGTAGATAAATGTTCCGTTCAAAGCAAAAATTATTGTGGCCTTGTCCTTTCACTTTTGTTATTCCATCTTCACTACCACAAAAGCAAATAAAATGATTACTAAAATACCAATAATAAGAAGAAGAATATATCTTTTTGGTCGGTCTTTTGTGCTAAATTTTCTGAGGTTATTCCTTTTCCAATATTGTGGCAACTTCCTTTTTAAGCTTTTAATCATTGAACCTAAATAATTTTTTTTGATAACCTATATTTTAAATTAAGTTATAATTTTTTATTAATATTAGGCTAATAAATTAACGGATTAATTTCTGTTTAATTAAAAATTAAAAAATGAAATAACATGTTTATAAAAATAATTATTTTAAAAAGTATATATAAAAATAAATAAAATTAAAAATATATATTTTTAAAATTTAAGTTATACTTAATTAAAATCTAAATACGGTGATCTAATATATAAATTATAAGAGAAATTATTCGTTCACTCCTAACATAATATGTCTATTTGTAGGTACATGTGGTCCAACATAAACATTATTTACAAAATTATTTACTGGTTTCATTGCTGATGTCTCTTGATTGCTTTGACTACTATTGTTATTATTATCAGTGATATTGCCTTGAATATTCTCACTCGCGCTATCATGCCTAGTACCACTATTATGTCCAATACCTATATTTTGCCTTTTATTATTTTAATGAGCAATATTAGGTGTAGCACTATATATTAATGTGGAACAAGGTGCAAAACTTTGTGTATTGTGACTTGCCATAATTATTCTACCACTTCTTAATATCATATACTACTATTTCTCATTCAAATTCTCTAGAAACTAATTTACAAACATCGTTCTACTGGATATGTCAGTTTGTTTCTAGTGTAAAATAGTTCGCTATTTGATTAGTTGTGTTTTCTTAATTCTTTTATTCATGTTTCCGCAATGAACCAACCACTATGTGGGTTCTTTGAACTTTGATTAGCAAGCGTTAACACTTTTCAATTTAGAGAATCTTTGTTAGATTATTTGATTATCACTAATAACTCAATAATTAATATAACATGAATCTCTATCTGTGATCTTCCATATAGAATTTATATTTTCAATATAAGTTGTAACATTTAAAGTAAAATGCGAGAAAGATTACGAGGAAAATAAATGTTCAATAAAGATAAATTATAAAAAATCAAATCTAACCCATTACCAAGGATAAAACAAAAATTTGATATAATAAATTAACAAAAATGATGATCCAATTGCAAATAACATCATTAAAAATGCTTGTTTCGTATTCGTAGCATTTTTCAGAATGTAAGTCTTCGTACAATTTAACAATCACCTTTAATTACACTTATTTCATCTTATTTATATTTTACCTTGTGTAATCGCTAGTCAAAATAAAAATACAATAAAAGACAAAAATAACAAAATAAAATAAAATGTTTACTTTTCCTATAATCGCTCCACTGTTTTCTCGAGCCATTAAATCACCATGTAGCACTCATAACATTCAAATCATGTAGTAGAGTCATAATCGCTTCTGCACTATCCTTTCTCGATTCTTCTTCCCCTTTTTTGTTTGTGTAAGTATATCTCAATGCTTTGTTTTCCTTGATTATGTCACACTTGAATAATTTGTTCTTTCCACCAAGGCTTCAATTTCCAAGCCTTTGATTTCTCTAAGTGTTTGTATCTTGATAAATTTTTCTAGACATTCCTTTGGTACCTTTCTCGATTTCCCTTAGTCTTTGACTCATACTTGATAATACTATTTGCCCTCACTAACATATTCATTGATTTCTCATTAAATTGTGACTCAGTATTCAATTATATTGTCTTTTCTTTTTGCCAATTTTCCTACAAACTCTTAATCTTTTTCATTTCTTCGATACTTTTTTCGACTATAATAACTTTAATTTTGATCACACTATACATCTCGATTCATTATTCTTCTTTGATTATACACTTGATTGATATTTTCTATTATCCATATTCTCAATTTTAAAGCAATATCTCCACTCATCTCAATTTTTTATCCTTTCCATTTCTATCTTTGACCTCGATTTCCTTCTTTTATTATCATTTCTCGTTAAAAACTTTAATATTATTTCCAACTCTTTCTTTCGACACATTATTGAATTTTTTAGTAACACAATGTCAACTTCTATTAGTGATCTTTCATATATCAATTAAATTTTCAATAAATTTCCAACATTCAAAGTAACGTGTGAGAAATATAAATGTACGAAGAGAGTAAATTGTAGGAAAAGTAAAGTGCGATGAAGATAAATTACAGAGAAGTAAATCTAACTCATTATTAAGGATAAACCAGAAATTGGTAAATGAAATCAATAAAGATGATGATTTAAATTGTAAAGAACTCCATTGAAAATGTTTGTTCCATGTTCGTAACACTTTTCAGAATGTAAGTCTTAGTACAATTTGACAGTCATCCTAAATTACACTTATTTCATCTTATTCATATTTTACTTTATGTAACCGTTAGGAAAATAAAATAAAATAAAATAAAATAAAAATAGTTACTTTTTTTTATAACTATTCCCCTATTTTTTTGAGTCGTTCTATTGACACATAACACCATCCATGTTATGTAGTGGAGTTATAACCGCTTCTACATGCATCTCATCTGTATAATTCCTTCTTGATCCTTTGTCTTTTCGTTTTGCATAATTGTCTGTCAATCCTTAGTCTTTCTCCATTATATATAACTGTCTTTCAATCTTTTATCTTTCTCGATTGTAAAACCCTTTTTCAATATTTCTAAGTTTTTATTTACCACTGTTTCTTTTTGTCTATTTTCTCCTTCAATTAATACGAATATTCGATTCTTTAAATCTTCAATTTTCACCTTCATAACCCCTCAATTTCTTCTATAAAAATCTTTCTATTAATCTTTAGATATCCCAACCTCCTTTTTTTTTTTTCAAACCTTCTCGATTTTCATTATCTTAAAATAGTGTTTTGATTCTGATAATCGAGTCCTATCTATAACTTCAATATTCTTTTTTCTAATTCATTCTATATATTTATAAATGTACTAGTAACATTAGATAGGTGTTGCACTTAATCTAAAATTTTGACCAGGTTATACTCATTATAGAGATTTTTCTGAGTTTTGTTCGCTCTAGATTTTGACCGAATTCTACTCGTGCTAGAGTTTTGCTAGTTGTTCTCACCTTACAGCTTTGACAAAGTGCCTTTTCAGTTCGCTTGACTTATTCAAGGCACTGCAAATGATACAAGCTCCACTTCCTCTTGTTTGATGATCTATCTACATTTAGCTCCATCTTTCATGCTTTTTTTTCTTACTGAGGAAAACTCGATGAAGAAATTAGTTAGAAATTGAGCTCAACCCTTATAAGTTAATATCGAATTCTGACAATTATACATACAAAACTATTATTCTCTTAATGAGTCCGGATACTTGCTTGATAGAGTAGTCAATCTTGAGTACTATGGAAAACTCTGAAAATATGGTATTGATCTATTATTGAATACCTCATTTACGTTGGTTGGAAAATTCCACTAATTATAAAATTCCCCTAATAAAATATTTCAGACTATGCATATAAATGTAAATTACAGATACATAAATCATATAAAACAATGAATTGATTTGAAAATAAATCAACAGATTCAATAAGATAAATCAGAAAAATATAAAGAAGACTGTAAGTAAATAAGATAAACAAAAAAACTTTATTGAAAAATAAAGATGATCAGAAAACATACAATGGTAAATTTTTTATCAATCGTGACCGTTACAAAAGTATAATATTTATATAATAAATTTATGTATAAATGATTCATCATTATTCTCTCTATAAATATTAATATATTTCACACATGTCCAAAATTATTTATGTTTTTATTGTTTTATCAACAGTTTTATTGACTTAATTTTTAGAAGTTTAAAGATTTTAACCTATAGTTAACACTTTCGTATAATTACATTATTCATATTTTTTTTGTTTTTTAAATTGATCATCTTCTTTCACTTTTTTTTTTCCTTTTTATATAATCTTCATGTTTTGTCTTCTAGTTGAGAATTTTTTTTTTCTTCTCAATTATTCTATATCTTCCCTTTCAAGATTTTACGAATAAAAGATAAGTATACACAATGCATTATGCAAAAAGATGATGGATGGCATCAAGTAGAGAATATATAAAATATATTTGACCCTAGAATCTGATTTGGACTGAGTGAGAATAGCAATCAACGCATCTTTAGGAGAACAAAATAATTACATCAACTGTAGAATCATTATACATGATAATGTTAAAAAAAAAAAAAAAAACTTTAGAATCATATCTTGCTATAATGTCATTAGTAACTGATAAGCCTTCAAGCAATTGTTATCTGATTTTTTTTCCATGGACAATCTTTGTTGACGAAAGTTAAAGACTAAATCTATTTTTTGATTTATAGAAATTATTAGTTTTTCTCTCCAAAGTTTCAATGAAGTATCTTTTTACCTACTATGATAGAAACTAATAATATAACGATAATAAAGAATCATGACCAAACCCATGAGACTTTCCTATATAACCTTTCATCTTGGCCTTTCCAAAACCATAGCCTCACTCATCCCACAAATACAATTAACCCTAGCTATATACCTACCTTGAGAAGAAAAGTAAGATCAAAATGCCTGTGTTCATCCCTCCCATGGCTAAACCCAAGGACCTGCCTCCAAATATAATCATGGTTGAAAATCAAATAAGGGATATTTTAAGAAAAGCAGATTGTAATGGAGATGGTTATCTAAGCAAGGATGAGCTGAAGAAAGCTTTCAAGGATTTTGGTTTCAAGTTACCTGGATGGAGAGCATGTCGTTTTCTGAAGAAAGTTGACGCCAACCACAACGGTCAACTCACCATGGAGGAACTTGACATTATTGTCGATTATGCTCTTCCTAGGTACAAGGTTAGGAAGTAAATGATGATCGATCATCACGCCCATATGCAACAATTGGAATTTACTACACCCAAAAGCATTTAATGAGGCGCATATATGCATGAGTATGTACATATTAGCAACGCCAGGATTATTAAAATGGAAGCATGTTTTTGGTTGTTGTTCGTGTTAATATCCAAAACCGTATTAGGTTTATGCCAAGTAGTGTCACTTGTTTACTAAGGGTGTGTTTAGAAGTTGGACCAAGTTTGAACTTATTTGCAGAGATAAGTGTTTGTGGAAAGTGTTTGCTTGTGAGAGTTTTAGAAGTTATTTTTGTTTTCATTAAGTTCTTTAAAATAATTTACCAAAAAAGTTTAAAATTGTAATTGTATTAAAAAAGATAACTGTTGTAAGAGAGACGCTTAATATATGAAATAATATATTTCATATAACCTAAACCCTAAACAAGGTTTATAATAAGTCTTCAACTTTTAAATTTTACATGAAAAACAAAAATCTATATTTTTAGTTGTAGATTACTAATTTTTTTTACAAAATTGTAATAACGGTCACAAATCGTAACCGAACTGTAACAAATAATGAATTATGTGATAAAAGTCATACCATTATCGTCATAAATTACAAACTCTTTTTTTTTTTTTTAATTTGCAATGTATTTGTGATAGAAAAGGATTTTATTTAAGCAAAAATGAAAATATGCTTATTGATTCAACTTATCATTGGCTTCAATTGGACAAATTACCGTTTAAGCAACTATGAGAGACACTTAAGTGAGTTATTCACTACAAGAAAAATGACATTTAGCCACCGAAATTAGCGACCAAATTTTTTCGGTCGCAAATAGTGACCGATTTAATTTTGGTCGCAAATAGCAACCGATTTAGCGACCACTTTAGTTCGGTCGCAATTAGCGACCGATTCAGCGACCACTTTAATTCGGTCGCCATTAGCGACTGATTTAGCGACCAAAATATGAATTGGTTTTCATTTTGTTATTTAGCGACCGAAATAGCGACCAATAATTTGCGTCGCAAAATTTCGATCGCTAAATCGATGGCTATTCCACGATAAAATAAAAAAATCATTTAGCGATCGATTTAGCGACCGAATTACAAATTGAAATAGTGACCGAATTATAATCGATCGCTAATGAGAAAATAGCGACCGAATTTAAATCGGTCGCTAACTAACATTATTTTTTTATGATATTTAAATTTATTTTTTTATAAATATACTTTAATTGTTTTTGACAATTTATTTTTTAAAAGTAATTTATTTTCTAAAAATAATTTAATTTTTAAAAGATACTTTAAAAATAAACTTTGGTCTCAATATTAACAAAATGAAGATTAACTTTAATTTTAAATTACTAAAATAAAAATATTATTAAAAATAAATCTAATTTATTAAAAATTTAAATTGTAATAAATTAAGACTAGAGTAATATTAACTATTCAATACATTGTTTAAGAAAAGTTTAATAATAAATATTCTTTAATTTATTTTTCAATTGAAAATTTCAATTGAAATTAAATTATATTTTAAAAATTTATATTAAAAAAATTAAACACATCAAATGATCACATTTTAATTCCTCATTAACTTAATTAATTAAGAAAATAAAATTTTAATCAAATTATTACAATTTTATTTTATAAAACTTTATTTTATAAAACTTTATTTTTAATCTAATCTTTAAATTTATTGCTTTATTATTATTAATTACTTAACCATGGTTATTTTCATATAATTGATATACAAAAAAATTATATCAATATACATTAGATAATCAATATACATTAGTTTAAGTATACATCAATATACATTCTCGCTGCATGAGGTTTCTTCACTTAAAAGATTTTGCAAAATGCCTCTAAATACGTTTAAGCGAGTTAAAAACAAAGTATTTTAACAAAAGCTTTCTTAAACAAGTTTTTAACTGATATAATTTCGAAATAACCGGTTGTTTTCATTAAAGAAAGTTTTGAAAACCTTACGTCGGTGTTTCAACTGATAAAGCTTCGAAATAACCGATTAAAAACACTTAAAATGTTAAGAGAAGTGTTTTTGCAGTATTTTAATCGATACAACTTGGTTTTAATCGATTAAAACCACTTAGAGTTCAGGATGATCGATCAGAATGCAATTATGACCGATCAGAATTAGATATGATCGATCAGAATTGAGTTATGACCGATCAGATATTTTTCAATCGATTAAAACACGTTTCAATCGATTAAAACAACTTAGAAAATTTCTACACAGTGTTTTAATCGATTAAACCTTATTTTTATCAGTTAAAATCACATGGAAAAACTCACAATAAAGTTTTTTAGTATTTATATCGATTGAATCACGAAACAATCGATTAAAACAAATTAGAAGATTTTTGGTAAAGAGTTTTAATTGATATAAACGTTGTCGTATCAGTTAAAACAAATCTGTTAAAGAATCAAGAACGTTTTAATGGATTAAAAGAAGTTTTAACAGATTAAAACTGCACTTTTAACAGATTAAAAGATTATTTTAACAGATTGATTAAACCAAGCAGGTTTGAAAATCTTCTATAAAAACAGTTTGGCTTGAACTTTTTAAACACACATTGAACATCGACTTTTACACATCCTTGAGCAATCAAGCAAGCAAACTTTAGCACTCTTTTAAAAACATAATATTAAAAAAAATAGTTAATATTTGAAACTATATAATAGCGGTTCCACCTTAACCGCTATCTAAACTATCTTTTAGATAGAGGTTAAGGTTTAACCGCTATTAGAAGTCCCCTTTAAGAGCGGTTCCAGTGGAACCGCTATCATATACAACCATATTTTAAGATTGTGAAGTCTCGGGTTGTATTTCGCTTGAGCGACACTACTCTCGCTCGAGCGAAATACGATACTGATCGATCATAATTTGAAATGATCGATCATAATTGAGAGGATATAGTAGCGGTTCCACGTTAACCGCTATCTAAAGTGTATATTAGATAGCGGTTAAGGTTTAACCGCTATTATAAGTGCCCTTTAAGAGCGGTTCCAGTGGAACCACTATCATATACAACCATATTTTAAGATTGTTAAGTCTCGGTTTGTATTTCGCTTGAGCGACTCTACTCTCGCTCGAGCGAAAGCCAATTCTGATCGATTAGATTTTCAAAATGATCGATCATATTTGATAACTTTTTCAAATAATTAATTATAATCGATTATTTTTCTAAATTATTGATTAGAATTGATTAGTTTTTCAAATAATAGATTAGAATTGATTAATTTCTGAAATATATATTAAAAAATTATAATTAAAAATATAGATTATTTAAGAATATTAACTATTGTAAAGATAAAGTAGAACATGGGAGGAGATGAGGATGATAATATAATGATAGAAGTTACAAAAATGTAGAATTGAGAAGTTTCAAACAAAAAAATTTAAGAAAATAGAGATTTAATTACACTTTTAATAAATTGAAGATAATACTAGTTTTAATAAATTAAGAAAATAGAGATTTAATTACACTTTTAATAAAATAGAGATTTAATTACAGTTTTGATTTAATTACAATATAATTTTCAACTTTGAGAATGAACAATATAATTAAGAAGATCAAGTCTAATGTTATTGATGCTAATTTTAACAATAATACAATAATATTATTTTCAAAAATGCCAATATGAATGTGAATATTTTGATTATTATTATATAAAATAATTAAAAGAATAAAGTAAATAGAAAAGTAAAATGCATGGTTATACCACTTTCCTTTTAATCTATAATTAGTTAGGTATGAATCAAATGTAAAGTCTAATGTTATTGATGTTAATTTTAAGAAGATAAAAAATGTAAATTAAAATAATTACAATATAATTTTCTACTTTGAGAATGAACAATATAATTAAACTCAAAATTGAGAATACTCTTATACATTTTTGAACTCTTTTGGATAATTTTTTTTTTCTAATTTTTGATAAAGTTAATTTTAATATTTAAAAGTATTTAACATTTTGAATTCTGAAAGGTTTTCTCTAATAGAAAATTTAAAAACATAATATTCAAAAAAATATTTTAAGATTGTGAAGTCTTGGGTTGTATTTCGCTTGAGCGATACTACTCTCGCTCGAGCGAAATCCGATACTGATCGATCATAATTTGAAGTGTATATTAGATAGCGGTTGAGGTTTAACCGCTATCTGAAGTGTATATTAGATAGCGGTTGAGGTTTAACCGTTATTAGAAGTGCCCTTTAAGAGCGCTTCCAGTGGAACCGTTATCATATACAACCATATTTTAAGATTGTTAAGTCTCGGGTTGTATTTCGCTTGAGCGACACCACTCTCGCTCGAGCGACGCGACCTGCACAAAATTGGCATTCTCGGGTTGTTTTTCGCTTGAGCGACACTGATCTCGCTCGAGCGACATCCACATTTTTCGATTATGATCGATTACATTTTTAAATGATCGATCATATTTGGAAATATATAATAGTGGTTAAGATTTAACCGCTATTATAAGTGCTATATAATAGCGGTTATAATTTAACCGCTATTAGAAGTTCTATTATAATAGCGGTTATGAGGTAACCGCTATCATATACAACCACATTCGCCCTTTTCCCTAACTCTCGCGCCTCACTCACCCATTCCTCTTAACCTTGGCCAGTATCTCCTCCTCACTCCTGGCGAGCCCTAGCCCCCTCACTGCTCCCCCCAAGTCAGCCCTCACCCTAATCCAACCTCCACCAAAGCTCCTCGTCAACCGCACGCCACCCTGTCAGCCACCGCTCCATCGCGAATCCCCGCGCTTCTCGTGAGCACTGCACCCCAACACCTGTTGTTTGGACCCCCAAACCCCAGTCATCACCACCGCCTCCCTGGCCACCATCGTGGCCATCCCTAAATCTCAACCTAACCTCCACCATCGAGGTCTTTCCACGCCTCAGTTGCCCCAATCGTGCCATTGAGTTCCCCGCGAACTAGAGGTGAGTCAGAGGGGTCGCGAGTCAAGCGCTTCGGTTCACATTTTGCTGCTATGTTATATTTCTTTTATGCCTTTTTACTGTGGATTGTTCTCCTTGGTTAAGGATGAATTGTGTGTGGGTCTGGTTTAAACTGGTTAGTTGTGGACAGTCTAAAAACCTTGATTGCATACCATTTTTTAAAACCTTGGTTATAGAATGCAGAAGGTGTCTTATGTCCTGTTAATGAT